ATATAAGATAGAGAAAGCGAAATTTCATAAAGAAATTATTGGATTTTGTTCTTTATTATTGCTATTGCTTCAATTTTGTAGGTATCTTAGGGGTAGAATACAGTGATACGCACTCATCAATTAGTACTCAGCCAACAGTATTCTGCATAAAACCGGAATAATTTAAATAATTTAATATTTCTTGATTCGAATAATCAATACCGTTCACTAACCTACAGTTCATAGCCGATATTACATTTTATGTTTATTTCGGCTTCGTTATATTCTCTTCACATGTTTTGTCCTCCCTCCTTTTGATTCTCTTTTCTTTTCCTTCCTTTCAACTACTCCGCACCACATTCTTATATAAGGGCCTGCCCTCTTTCGAAAAACAGGGACTTTTTCGATGGGGTTAAATAAGTGGTAAGCCACCAAAATGGTAGCGGGCCTCCGAAAAAGTAACTCTACTCTATTACACAATCTTATTAAAAATTTTAGAATCAAGGGTTGCCCAGAACCCTGATAGCAGACCTACCTAATTCATCATTCCTCTTCCTAGGAATGGACCTCCATATAGCCTAGATTAAAGATCAGCAACAAGGTCAATAGTTATAGCGTCAATTATTTTCAATATACAGAATTTATTAAGAGCAGGTACGAAAATACCAAGAAATATGATATTAAAATTTTCGATGACAATAACATTTTTAAAAATTGTATGATTGCAATCGCTGTAATTATGGAAAGAAGCCTTCCATAGAGTCATCTACAACAGGATTGAATATAAATTTGTTGAAAAACACTTCATTTAATTGTAAACATGTAGTATATTGCATTACTTGTGAAGAATGTATTATACAGTATGTTGGAATAGCCCCTAAAATCAAACAAGGTATTGGAGAACACATTTACCACATTAACAAAGGTGACACAAGCAATTACCAATTATATAACCATTTCACAACAAAATGTAAAATTAACAAAACGAAAATATTCTCTTAGATAAAGAAGTTTTTTTGGATAAAACTATTATTAACAGCATATC